CGTTCACATACAATCACTTTTGTAATATGTTTTTTGTCTCTCGACTATTGATTTATTATTTATTTATTTATTTATTTATTTATGGTTTTTTTTACTCTTAACCTTATTAAGATATATAGAATTTCAGTTTTTTTAGTATTAGGGGACTTCTTTTTCTGAAAAAAAAAATGCGAAAATTAAACAAATATTTCTTTAGTAAAAATACTTTTATTAAATAATAACACATATATACTTACTTTAAGAATTTTAAATTTAAATACAAATACATTCGTAGCGGCGAGAGTACTATCACCGTACTGCTCAATTTGATACATGATAGTAAAAATATCTTTTTTTAATTCGTTTGCGACGTTATAATAAAATAAGCAATTATGTATGATTGTCTCAGAAATAAATTTAATACATACATACATATCAGTTCTCGTCTTATCACTGAAGTCAAGCAATAATCTGAGCACGGTTAGTACTTGAATGGGTAATCGCTTGGGAACATCGATGTTGTCTCTACATTTTTTTATTTTTAAATTCGGAAAGTAAATGTCAAAGTTAATAGAAATTGTACAAGTAAATAATCTTATTTTTTTCAAGTCGATTTAATTCAGGACATAATTGTCAAGAAATCTCTCATTATAATATTAAAAGTAATATATGATCGCTATTAAAATTTTTATTCCGAGGAAACCGATTGCAAATCTCGAAAGAATCTCTATTATCGAGAGAAATTCCTTTGGAGGAATCTTATGTGTGAGAAATGGAGCAAGAAGTTTGCAAAGATGTCCTTTGAAATATCGTTCTTTGTACGAGAATATAGAACGATAATGAATTACACATCTTTTCATGCCTTTAACTGTTCCAATAGTAATTCTAATCTTATGACAATCAGAATCCATTAATTTTAAGAATTCCTGCAGTAAGAATACAAATCGTAATTTGAAGCAGATTATGAAACATAAGTTGTGACGATACAACTTCGCGTTCTTTAATAGATTTTCCTTGACAATTGAGTCAGCTTATCTTAAAAATCGTTAAACTGATCTTTAACAAATCGCTATAAATTCTCATGAAAAACGAGTTGGCTGTCAGGCACGAAAGAGCGTGCCATTTTTTCATTAATTTCTAATTAATTCGCAATGTTTATTCGCAATTGTTAGCGGAATTCGACCTCTCAGCTATGGATTGATAGAGAAGGTGGTTCGTATAATCGAGAAGAATGTCGGAGGACGAGAAAGATAGGCTAAAAAAAAAATATGAATCAATAATGAAATGAGAGTAACAAATATATTCTGCATAATCGAATTACATATGGTCCTCGTAAAATATAGTCTTTATGTCTGATTATTCGAGGTTATCTGTGACGAGAATAGCTCAATTCAACTGTACACGTGTTAATTAAACAAGATTACAAGATTTTGATGTTACATGAGCTTTTAATATTGTTGAATACTAAAGGCGAACAGATGAGACAGGATTACGTCCTAGATATATCTTCAGTAAGCAAACGCTCGTATAATCACCAAGAATAATATAAACGCGTAAAAATAATAACTACGCGACACAGAATATTTTTCTGCGTGATGCCTCGAAAATGACTGTTACGCTTCAAAATAGAACGACTCTTAACAAACAAAAGTGACTACATAATAAAAAATAACGGCTATAGCAAAGGCAAGCGCTATTCGACAACTAACTTTACCTAAAACAAGCGTTATGGATGATGCTCATGATTCCATACATAGCAGCCGGAAGGCTAATGGATTTCAATCTACGATACTTGACGATCCATGCAAAAATCTCGTGATTGACGGCTTTACAAATTATGCGACGTTCGTCTCACCACGACAATCTCTTCCGATTCCTCATCAATATTTCAGAATCTTGTCTCCATAGCTTTTTAACTCGTCCCAATATTTGCTTATTCTTTTGTTAAGGGATGTGTACATCCTCTCACACTTTCTCTGACTTGGTCATAATCAGCCACAATATGAGTATCGTCGATATTTTTTCACGGATCCACTTAGGTCATTAGGCGAGTTGGATCCCACTCCTAGAGTGCCTCACAGGGAGAGAGTGGAAAATTGCATTACGTATCCCGCCTCCTCTGATTGAATATGGGCATCAAAGCTCCATAGACATGGAAGAGATTGGAGAAAACTTTTTCACGTGACTCCCGTCCTGATTGAATGTGGGCATTCACGTGATGCAATTTGCCATCTCTCCCTGTGAGGCTTTCTATCCCCTTCTAATCAGGGTCATTTCATGCACCGATTGGTCCTTATCACGCGAATCGCGCAAGCTTCGCGAGTCGTAAATCCTTAGGCGCATAATTCGAATAAGCTATGTACAGCATCCGCATTGGAAGCAGCCTTTCATTTCCTAATGGTTTAGGATATCAAGTGATCCTTCCCAATCCAATTATGGATCAAAAAATGCGTGTCCTTTAAGTGGACGGTACACTCTACTCGCGCAACTTCAGTCCTTCGTCTGCGAGGAAGATATGCCTTATCCCTGGAGCTCATCCTTCACTGTTTTTTTATAAATAATTACGACAGTAGTAGGATTCCAACAGCAGCGTGACAAAAATATAAAATAATACGACTTGCATGTATCGGGCTACCAGATGATTTCTCCATATAATAATTCTCTTCAGATCTTCCACTCGATATCGAGTGAGATGAAAAAAATACGAAAAGAAATATCGCCGATCATGATTCGTTAGTAGCAATAAAAATCTAAATTTGAGAACTAAATTAGAAAAGTAAATTATAATAAACAGTATAATGTGTATATAATGTGCATTCGTCTTTCGAGCCGAGAGGATGTAAGATCCTTTTAAAAAGTGCTGCGATAGTGACGGACAAAAATCGTCAACGTCACATAGTATATCTATTAAATTATGAAATATATACAATGGTCAAAAGTTTTCAATTAATACACAATACAATTTTATAACTTTTGTATTAATTTGTGTTTTATATAATTTACATTACAGATTATTATAAAATTCTTATTATATTAGGTGTACAACTTTGCTTTCGCCGTTTTCCTATAGATGGCTTTAGCGGTAAG